GTTTTCTCAGCTGAAAACTTTATTTATCCTCACACCTTTGTTATCATTCTCACCATAAAAATAGCCTTAGAAATTATGAAATCTAGAAAGGAACTTTAGAACCCAACAATGCTTTTCCTGTCAGTGAAAACTCATATTTTTATTTATGCAAAAATAACAAGTGTTTGTCAACTAATTGTCATTCTTTAGTCCATAAACTTATAGAAAAATTCCCTGCAATCAGTTGTTTTCTGTGTGGTCATTGCCAAAATACATTAGGGTCTAAGAAGTGAATATTAATTGCTTACTCTCAAACTGTTTTTGAAACATGTGTCTATTCATTGGATTGCACTGTAATGTGACATCTAATATCAGATGGTGCATTTGGCAAGATTCATGACAGGCATTGATAATGGGATTTTCTTCTCTCCGTATGTTTATTTCAATAGATTTATGAAATGTTCAGAGGCAGGAAAGGAGTGATAATGGATGCATTTCTGGTAAAATAAACCCACAACAATGTTTCTAAGGACTTTGCTATTTGTCAACGCGTGCTATGGGATATTTGCTTATACATGCATTATATGTAGCTCATATTTATTTGGGAGTCAGTGGGCAGTTCTCAGTTCATTACATGTACACTCAATTTACAAATGTAAGTTCGAATGTATTCTTTGGTTGTCATTTTGTTTATCAACTTGAAGGAGTCTAAGCTGGGCTTCAAGAATATTAGAATCTAATCTTAGTTCAGCTTCCAAGTTTCCTCAATCTGAAACAGAAATGCCTATTTTGCTTTATCCACCTATGAAAGAGGGATACCAAGTCTGATCAACTCAATGCCCAAAATTTATAAAGTTAATAATATCCGAGTACATGCTTTCATCCTGACACTTGGGTGATCAGCCCATGGAGCAGAAAGTTGAAGCTTAATTTCTCCTTTCTTTTTGTTTTTTTCCTGTCATGTATCTGGTCCACTGGACATAAAAACCACATTTAAATCAGTCAGCCTGTCTAAGTTATAAGCAGAAAAATGATAAAGAATCTCCATGAGCCCCTATGCCTGCAACTTGCCCCATTACCAAAATCAGCAATCTCACTACCAACACACACACACCTGGGCCTCCGAGTACCTCTTATTGACTTAACATTCCTTACTTTCAAATTACTTACTATTCTTCTTAGATCCTAAAGATGCATCATTTATCCTGTCCATGATTCTCTCTGGTTCTTCTCAGGCTTTGGTAGCTGTGGCTGATAATTTCATAACAACCTTTCTTACTCTCCATTGGCAGAAGGTGATGGAGAGGTTAGAGTTGAGGGTTTCAGGGGCAGGGGCAGGGGCATGGCAATGAGAGAGCCTACAGCAATGTTGGCTCTTGTCCCCATTGCAGTCTCCATGATAATCTCCAGTCCCTCTGTTCCCTGCTGGCTGGGATGCTGATTCTCTAAAATCACCACTCTTATCCTCAAATTCTAAAATCTTAGGCATCTCAGATCACATCTCATTCCATTTTACTGTTATCTAAAATGCCATTCTCCTGTTCTGTCACCTACTTTCTGATTAGAACAGTTTCCAATTAAAGATGTATTTCTCTAATTTAAAATTCTATTGTTTGTTAAACTACCAGTTTCTGGGGCTCCTCCACAACTAATACACAAACTTCACACTTTGAAAGCTCATGAATGTCAATGTCTGTTTTTCTTTTCTTTTTTCTTTCTTTCTTTCTTTCTTTCTTTCTTTCTTTCTTTCTTTCTTTCTTTCTTTCTTTCTTTCTTTTTTGTGTGTGGTCAGGAAGAGTACAAGTGTCTCATCTTTGGACTAGGTGATCAGAGCAAAAGTAGAAACTGTCCTTAGTGTCAATACATATTTTCTAGTGGAAGAGGTAGTGCTGGCTGAGTACACATTCACCCTAAAGAGGATGAGGGGGCAGAAGACCAAGGTCACTGAGATCTCCATATCTAGCTCTGCATCTCTGGTTATTGCTTGCCACTTATGCCATAGATCTAGGACAAAATAAAGGACAAAAGAACTCAGAGTGCCTTAAGTAAGACTGGATAACCAAGAAAAAGTCTGGACATGTATAATGATTCCAGAATTTCAGAGAAGTTCATTTTTCCACAAGAACTCGACAAGAGTAAAAGAAACTACCTGTGTTTTCATCAAAAGTGCTACCAAACTTCAGGAAATCCAGACTTCGATATGACACTAAGTAGGTTTTCCTACAAAGGGAAAATATGCCTAACATGTCAGGATATTATTGACAACTGTAAACTGGTTACATACAGATGTATAAAAAAGTTATTGCAACTAAATGAAAAATACTGTGCTGAGAAGTACACTTTTAAGGTAGAATGGTATCACATAGTTTCCTTGTTGAATAAGCTTTACCAAAAGTAAAATTTAAATAAATTGTGGAAGAAACCAAGGTTTTACTAAAGAGAAGATATAAAAATTTATTTGAGAAACACCATCAACACAGAATCCCTGTGTTCATGTTTTTAATTGAAAATGGTGAAGTGCCAAAGGAGGTTATCCATCAAATTGGTGTTTATCATCCAAATGTCAGAGTCTTGTTCATTTGTGGATTTTGATGAAAATGGGTGCTCAAAGGATTTAAAAGAGATTTAACTTTTGTATTTAACCAACATGGTGATGACTTGAATACAGAATATTTCAATCAATTAAAAGATGATAGCAACACAATTCTGCTGAGACTCTCAAGGAGTCTTAAAAAATGATAGATGGAATAGTCAGTGTGGAATGCATTCTAAATATTGGATCTCTAAGTGATAGAGTGTATGGGCTTTTAGAAAAATATTACATTAGGGAAAGATAAATCACTGGAGGTAGCTAACTCTGTCTTACTGAGGATGCTATACACAAGGATTATTTAGGAAGACCTCTCTCCTATGGGAGCAACTGACGCAAGAACTGTTTATTTCTTCATCCTGCTGAAACACTTTTATTTATAATATATTCTTGCTCTCGAAGTTTTTTGTTTATATTACTTAAGTGTTTTCAGACACATTGAATATGTCAACTGAAGTTCCTTTCTCTTCACTTCTCTTAGTACACTCCCCACTGTATTTTTTTTAAAAAGTTAAAAAAATCTTAAAGCCAAAATTAGAAAAAAATAACTCCTTACTCTTCCAAAATGAGTTTTGTAGTTTAATTCTATCACACATTTTTTAAGATAACTTTTACACTTGAAAAATTCCTAGAAGTCTAAAAAGAAGCTTTATGAAATGGTTGAATAATTTGCACAATTCTAAGTATTGCCATTGTTGAAATTTGAATGGATCGTGCTGAGGGTATCACCATCTCCTGAAATTGCATTATGCTTGGTTAGTGCATTTAGAGAGAATCAATACTGACCAGAAGAAACTAGCACTCTGTGTTTGGGGAAAAAAAATCAAAACAAAAAAATTTGGTGTTCTCATGTACCTGATCATTACAAAATGTTCTCTATTGACCTGCTGATAATAAACATGAAATGGTAAATCTTTTCTTTAAATACTGTTTGTCTCAAATGGAATAGCCCTTGATCAACCATTTATGTCTTAGAATAAATTAATTTGTCACATACTTTCTTACAAACTGAATTTGAAGAGATCAGATACAAAGGCATCAAGCTCTAAAAGTAGAAAGTAATACACGCAGTACTGGGCAAAAAAAAAAAAAAAAATGAACAAACTGCCTTCATCATAATTGTACCTAAATTCAGGTGTTTTCACAATTTCTTTATATAGTTGTTATTCTTTGTCAATCAAATTCCTGGCTTAATGGCTTAATCATTAAAAATGAGCATTAAAAAAATGCTCAGCCCATCATCTGTAGACCTTGATGTTCTGTCTGGGAGAAAAAGAGAATCAAGATGATAAGTGCAGGGTCAGAGAATTATATTGAAAATAAGATCTTCTTTCTGGCTTAGTCAAACTCAAAATAGCTCTGCACAAAACCACCCTTATCTGTGGGGTGGCTCCATCTGGAAGTTGCTATGACAGATTGTTAGGTGAATAATCACTAGAAAGCACTGACTTATCTCTTCTGAAGGACCTCATAATATACCTTTGTCTGCAGCTGCAAATGCTGTTGACTGGCTCAGGGAGAAACCAAGAAAAGCGAGGCTAAGACCTTTCTTAATGTTTGGTTTATTTTATTTTATTTTGGTTTTACTTGTTTGTTTTGGTCTGGACACACAAGAAAACACTTAACTTCTAAAATCACGTATGGTAATATTTTAAATAAATGAGCATACTACTCATGCACTACTATAGTTATTTTACTTTACCTCTATCTCATTAATGGACTGTTATCAAATATGGATATGTGGAGTTTGCCAAAAAGAGGATTTTTCTTGCCAGAGATGGGGAACTAAACAAAATGAGTTGATGGATCTATTTCAAAAGCCGTATGTGCTGTCTGAGTCAGCAGCCATCCTCTCAAGGGAAAGATTTGGCTCTGAAAACATCCAAAGGACACACTCAGCAGCTAACAGGCCTGTCACCATAGGGGCTTGATAATTTGCTATTGACACAGTTCAGTTTTCACAGTTGAATAAGAATGTCAGCTTAGCTACAAACACAAACTGCTTTGTTCCCTCATGTGTTCTACTTAGGTTTTCAAAGTCCACCTGGCACCTTTCCTGGACTAAAGTCCATCATAATACACCTGGTCTTTCATTCTCTCCTATTCTTTTAGCTTGTCTATGAGATGGACACAAGAACAAACATAACAAACTCTCTGTGGCTGGAAGAACCTCTCCTCGTTCTTTCCTTCTTCTTTCTCCTAAGAGGCTAAAATCCAAAACCTTCCCTCTTAGAGATATCTGGACCACAAACATTCCCTCACCTCTCACTTTATTTTGGAGCATTCCAAAGTGTGCTGCAGAATAGTTCAATGATGTTGCTTTAAATGTGCATTAATATCTTCTTTCCATAATCATTAGATTTAATTAAAGTCAAGAAAAGAAAATAGTTTCTCTTATACAGATAATTCCTCCAATATATTCTTCCTTTAGCAACTTCATGGATGCCCAGTGAAACACAGAGTTCATTCTCCTCGGGTGCAGGCTCGACACTTCATGGTGAGTACTTGGGGAAGATTTAAGGTCAAAGGAAGTAGTTGACTGCTTTATCTGGGCAGAGATTAAAAAACAAAGACAGATAAGAACCCAATCTCAGATAGGTATTTGAAAGAGCATCTTGATAATGAAAATGACATGATGGTGATTATGACAATGATAATAAATGGAACTAAAATTCTTCTTAGTCACTGAAAGAAGATAGTCAGAGACCAAGTCTTAGATTTTGTTTCTCTATTTCATTTCAAAATGAAATCTATAGAATAACTTTTGAATCAGTTAAACCCATTAAACATTCTTTTTTTTTTATTTTTCCCATGGGAAAGTGGAATGATCTGTTAATATGGGCTTATCTGCTTGAATATTGCAAAGGAATTTTTAAAATTTATTTTTATTATATTTTTTTCCATTACCATTTATCCTCCTTATACCCTCTTCCACCTCCACCTCCTTCTCTCCCCCTCCCCCAATCTCCAGAGTGTTGTCCATGTCCATGATTCCTTTTTGTTATTGACCTTTTCAAACATATTAGAGTAGGGAGAATCAGTATTTTGATTGGCTGGACCTCTTATATCCTGAGAGAACAAGGATAGACTTCATCTTTCTATGATCCCAACTTATTTTCCCATAATTACTTAAATTTCTCATGGTTATTTTTCAGCAGATATTGGTTTGTTTGTCTGCTTTATAGGTTCTCTTTCTTCCTTTAAACCAATAGGAAGTTTCACTGCTTGGGTGGCCAATAGATCCTAGGATCCTAGTCTTGCTGTAAACCGGTCCTTAGTGAACTTCACACATAAAGTTTTAGGAACATTTAAGCCATTCAGTTTGAGTCCTTCCTAAAAGCAAGTGAAATCCAATCATGATTTTATAGCAGTTGCTCAGGTTGATATGGCATTAATAGGATCCCTTCTGATAATCCCTTTTGTATCCCTAGGTGATAACATCACCAGCACAAGCAAAGCATTTTCAGAAATTCCCACAACTGCCAATAGATCTACTAATTATAATTACATCCATATCACTGGTGAGCCATTTGCCATTTATTTTTTGGATGCTATATTTTATTCACTCAACAAATATTTATTGTCTTCCACATGCCAGATGCTGTGCCAATTCCTGGATATACAGCAAAAACACTGACCTCCTGAAAATTAATATCTGTTAGAGATGCTATATAGTAAATACATAATCATGCAATGAAATTTATTTGTAACATGCTATGATGTAGTATAAGGTATTGTCATAGTCTAACAGAAAGATTTGATTTTAATTGGGGAACAGGAAAGGACTCACTGAGAATACATTTAAACTAAAATTTGAAAAATGAACAAGAATTAGCCAGATTGAAAGTAGTAAGAAACATTTTCAGTCTTGTGAAAATATAGTCTGAGTCAAAAAAGAGATAACTGGAAAAAAGAGAATTCCTACATTCAACTAATACAATTTTGTAAATGCTAAATATAATCCTTTATTTCACATCATAAGAGGACAAGGGATTCAATAAAGTTAGGACCCCACCCCCACCCCAATGCAGGTCTTGACTGTAAATTGAGAGGTATAATCAACTTTTTCATTCCAGGGGGTATTCATTTCACTGGTGACACTTCACCTGGGTACTCAGCTCATTTCACAAGTAAGGTCATGCAATCCTCAGATCATTAGAGCATCATCCTTCACACAACATGGCAACCGAGTTGCAAACTGAGGTCCTACCAATATCTTTAAGATATTGGTGCCTTCAGGAGCTGCCTACTTTAGAGTTGGGGCAGGATTGGAGTTTGCTTCTGCACTGAGATATTCCTGTGGTCAGTGGTCTCATTTTCTGTACTTGGTTTAAAGAAAATTTGTAAGCACGGATGTAACCCCCATTTAAATCTTTTGTTCTTTTACTTTTCTACAATTTGGGGGGTACAATGTTACATCCCACCCTAATACTAGTGTAGAGCCTAGTCAATTTTGACTTCACTGAAACAGAAGTTTATGTACTCCTGGGTTGGCCATCTATATGATTGTTTCTTTTGTAATCATGATATTCTAGTGGTTTGAACTACTCTGAACTCTCTCTAGCCATCTGTATGTATGTATACACAGTGCCACATGGTGTTACAGGATTATGTGAGTTTCCATCAGTGTCTGTTTCAACAGAGCCAAGGTATGGAGAGCATCAGGAAAACCTTGAACCCCTGGATGTCTGTTGTAAAAAGAAGTCTTCTACACTGAAAACAAATGTTAACATAGCAACATCATGTGGCTGTAGTCCAAACTATGTAAAACTAAAAAACGCTTGGTACCTAATATTTTAAATCCAAGTTTTTTGCCTGTGTCTTATTTTTTTTTTGAGACTTTGCTGTATGAAAAGCAGTATAATGAATATAGGCAATGAAAGAAATTAAAAACCTAGTCTCCATCTGCAAGCAGTTTATAATCTAAATAATAAAAGAAAATCAATCCGGATAATTCTGATATAATATGCACTATTTGCCCAAATGATCTATGTAAGCTAATGAGCAAAGATGTATCTGTAATGTATAAGGAATTTCACTGGAGTGTTGTTAAAAATAACAGAAGCCTGGAAACAATTCAACCATCTAACATTAAGAGACCAATTAAATAAACTATGGTAGAGACATACATTGGGGAACTAGCCAGGATTTTAATTGAATGAGGTAAATTTCTATGTAATTTTTTGGAAAGTATTTCAAGAATGTCTTTAAGAGGAAAAAAGCCAGGATCCAGACAGAACAGTATGTATAGTGTGCCCTCATTTATAACATACATGTTTATGTATGCATAGAAAATTTCTGGTAGGGTATGTAATTAACTGTTGAAAGTTATTGCCTTCAGGTAACTGGCACCTGAAGTAGTAAGGGCACTTTCTTTCCATTGTAGATTTATATTTCTGTGCTGTTTGAATTTTTAACATGATCATAATATAGTTTTTGAAAAGGAAATGCTCTCCTTTACTGCCAGGTAGCAACAGGCACCATCATTTACTAAAAATAAAACCATCCAGAGCATGATTCTTATTTTGCTGCTGGTCTAGAATCTACAATATTTGAAAGTCTTTGATTCATGCAGTTTGACTTAGTGTTCAAATGTTAAAAATTTAATAAATTAGTTGAATAAGGGTATGGTCAGCATGGATAAGAAAAATCAGCCCATTTGTTCACCAATATAATTTTAGCCTGGCCCTTACTTTCAACTTTCTCCCTTTTCAGACCATAGAAACAGCAAAACCAACTGATTCTGTTTTACCCGTTTTTTCCGCACCTATCTCCCCTTTCTATGAATATGGGGAGAAATGAATATGGGGAGAAAGAAAGAAAAAGAGGGAAGTTGATAGAAAAGGATAAGAAAACCTCTACCCTGAATATGATGATTCCTTGAGTCACAAATGAGATGTCTTGGAACATAGCTTTTCAGCACTGTAACTCCACAGGTATTGGCCAGACCTTCCCAACTTTGGCCCTTCAGGGCTTTGGAATGTTATAATGCATTTTACTCTTTTTTTCCCCTCCTATCTCACATGCTTGTATAAGGCATTTAATGACCCCTTCAAGAATAAGAAAGTCCAATGCTAAACCATTGTTTTACAAGTAAACTTTTCTTCACTGGAGTAAATTTGGAATACAAATTTACAGACTAATTTATTCATTCCTACAAATGACATTTCATGTGTCACCATGTGGCACCATGTGTCAGGAATTGTCCCAGAGCTTGGGAAAATGAAGGAAAATATCAGTTGTGAAACATTCGAACAAGAGACATTCATGTAAAGATGTAATTAATTGTATATTGTATAAATGCCAAACCAGAAATGAGAATGAGGCATAGACACGATCCCAAAGCATGACTGTGGTCAAGGACTATCCCATGGCCCTTGAATAAAATGTGTGTCAGGGAAGGAGAAATTGTTCCATAAATTCTTGTTTCCAGTGGCCCAACTTTGGCCTTAATATTCCTCTCTCTGTATGCCCTTTCCAGGTGTTGTGGTTAATAAGCCCAAAGATGGAATGTCCTGGCCAGTGATTGTAGCAGCTTTGCTTTTTATCTGCCTGGTAGTGTTTGGTCTTGCCATGAGGAAATGGTGTCAATACCAACAGGAAATGTGAGTATAATATGAAGATATGCAGAAACAGATGCTTTTTCAATATACATTATTTGCTCAGCACTGTAAATATCATTCCTAAATTGAGTCCCTCTAATATTTAACTTAGGGAATAAATCTCAGAGAGGTTGTATAGCTTTCCCAGCACCACATAGCTGGTATTAGATACACAGCTTCTGACTTGGTATCCCCCCTGCCCGCTCTGGCTGTAACACTGCATTCAGCAGATGGAACAAGTCAGTGGGCATGAAACACAAACTGAGCCTCACCTTGCCTCAAAATTGAAAATGATTTTTCTTTTAATCTTCATTATTTTTTCATTTTCATGCATCTCTGAACTGCCTGGGCCTAGCCAGCACTAGATGCTCAAGTGTGAAATTGAGTGAGAAAGGTAATTTAAAGAAGTTTCTAGCAGCTTTTCAGCAGAATGAGTTTTTACTGCCCTTGTCCTTTTTACCCAAGGGGAAAAGAAAGTAAGCAGTTGGTTTACCCTCCTTTCTTATTGAAATGTTTTCCGGAACTCTTCTCCCTCCAATCAAAAATCTGAAATGACATGTAAAGTCACGCTTCACTTTTCTACCCTTGCTATTCTGGATCAGCCCAAATTAGGCCTGATTAGAGGAAACTCTCATATATATAGGCCTGATTTCCCATGTATCTTATGACTACTATCTAAGATAACAAGTCTAAGGAAACATTGACCATTGTGCAATATCTTCCTCTACTTTTCTGAGAGTATCCTTGAAGACTCTAGAATCAAGTGCAAAGAGTGTTTCATGGTAAATAAAGTACTAAACTAGTAGTCTGAGGTTGTGGATTCTTGTCCAAGTCCTCCACTTTGGCCACCATATGATTTTAAGAAATTCATAATTTACCTGAAAAAATGGAAATACAAATTTCTTAGAATTTTATCTACCTTTTGATAAATATTGTCTCCACTAAAACATCAGGAAATCAGGTAATAGGCATTGGAAATTTATATTTTAGAATGAGAAAATAGAAATCTGATAATCTGAAATGATTTTTTGTTATTGTTCTGTATTCAAATGTCTGTATTATATAGAGATGAGAAACAATCTCTCAATAGCTGTATAAGAGAGAGAGAGAGAAATCTGGAGAAGACAAGATGTTATGGATTGACAGACAAGGGGTGGAGGAGTTTGAATCATGGACATAATCTGCTCACAGATATATTTCTGTTTTCTAATATCAAGAGGCCTGGAACATTTTTATGGCTAAATCCCACTCTCAGCTATACACTTGATGCATTTCAGATAAGAGATGAGTTGTGCAACAGAGAATAGTACTTTATACAAAGATGATGATAAGAATATTCACTGGTTTAAAGAAAAGCAATTCTGGCATTATCTATCTAGCACCAACCAGCTCAGGGATTCAGAAGAGCTTTACTTCGTCCCTTGAGCAGACCCCCACAGCACATGACGAGTATGCGGGTAAGGTCTGGGGATATGGCTGGCAAAGGAACTATTTAAAAAGTTTCAGTCCAAGAATTTTAAAATTTTTTCTGGAGGCATGTTTTAACCCACTAAGAGATACACTTTTACTAAGAAACAGTTGCCATGGAGAGTATTGCTTTGGGTTTAAAGACTCGAATTGTCAGTTCTGTTGAGCAAGCTGCTTAAAATCTTTGTACCTCATTCAGTGGAATGGTGACAGTAATATTCAATCTCTAGATACAAATTAAGTAATGTTATGATAAAAAGTGTTTTTCAAGCTATACAATTACCATATAAATGTTAATTAATGATATTAGCGTGCTAAAACCAACAAGCAGAAGGTTATACCAAGAAAATGCTGAGAGAACCTAGTGATGCATATCTCTTCCTTTTTCTCTGTTTCCTGCTTTAAAAGAATGCACGTGTGTGTATGTGTGTGCACGCGCGCGCGCACACACACACACACATCACCCCCTCACATTCTTAGCTTTGAAAGAACAATGTTTTCTTCCTAGCATGGAAAGACCCCCACCTTTCAAGCCACCTCCGCCTCCCATCAAGTACACTTGCATTCAAGAGTCCATTGGAAATGATCTGCCCTGTCATGAGTTGGAAACACTCTAGTTCTCTGAGACTTTGCCATACAGTGAAACTCTGCTAGAATCCTATTGAGAAGGTAGATATTTTGCTTTGTTAAATATCCGCCCTCTAACCAAGCCTCTACTGCAGCTGAAATGGATGTCAGAAGAGAATGACCTGTTTTCCCAGTAACTCATCCCCTTTCATCAGCATATGCCTTTAAAGAAGAGTAAGAGGATATGTTTCGCTGACACCCAATGCAATCTGTAGGAATGTTCTTGCCTATGTAAGAAGTGCAAATTAAGTGGCTGCCATTAAAAAATACTTGAAGGGTTTTATTTTTCATTTTAATTATCTAATTGAGATGACCACAATGGTTTCAAGCATATGTTTGTACCAGATCTTTTCTTCTATGGGCATCTGCCAACTTTCTAAACTATTTGCCAAAAATATGATAATCTCTGAGGTTTGTTGCATTCCCTAGGAAAACAAAGTTTAAGCAAGAGTTCCATATAATGGGAAAGTGCAATTTTGTCTTTCTATTGAAATTCTGCTGTTTATTTTCACTGCAGGAAAACAGACTATCTTTTACAAGAGCCCTAGTTCCAACCCTCCTTTACCTTGTTTCCCATTATGTTCAGCCCAGGATCCTGCCCCATGGAAGGAAGGGAAAAAGAGATAACCAGCAACAACCAAGTAGCCTATTAGATACACTCCTTAATTAGCTTCAAAAATTATATGAGCTGAGATTGATCTCATTCTCAGCTTTACCTCTGTGCGTGTGTACATGTGTGCGTATAACAAACCATTGGCAAATTGTTATATAAGTAAACCAACAGCCTAAACCTAATCTAACTCATTTCAATTATTCTCTTTTTCATCTGGAGACTTTCCTGTTCATTCAATGTGCCTGTTCTGAAATGTCTTAAAACAAATAAAAGGCCTCAAATCAGACTAGCATTGATGAGTTAACTCTACTCCTACCAATCTTTTATAAAACAGTTCAAACAGAACATATAGGCGGCTGAGAAAGAAACCTAACCAGCCTGACCTGCTCTGTATTCAGCAACAGTTAGTGAGTGAATAAATTTCCAATGCCCCTTGCTCCTCTAAGCCTTGCCACAAACCCCTGCACCAGGAGGGAAGGACAGATGTTGCTGATAGAGACCATACCAAATTCTGTGTGAACTTAACTTCAAAAGGAACCTTTACTTAATTTTCAGTGTCCTTATCCCTGGCTGCACATGAGAATAACATGGAGAACATTTTTGACATCATGGCTGTCCCTCCTGATCAATTTAGTCAGAATCTCTGTCAAGTTAGGCCTAGGCATAAGCACTCTCAGATGATTCAAGTGTTCAGTCAAAGTTGAGAACTGCTGAACAAGAGGAAGACCCTTTTTATTGACCAGAATCTTGGTTAAGGGCTTAACTCTTGTGGTAACCAACCTCCAAGGTGTCCCCTATAATTCTTGCCTTTTACATAGTCCCCTCTGACGCTGAAGACAGCTGACATGTATAGCTGGTAAGGACTAGATTAAGGCAAATAAGGCAACAAAGGTGTAAATTTAAGGACATATTTACACTCGGGGTCATGCACTTACACAATCTTGTGAGTGAGTACAAGTCCCAGGCCTGGTATAACCAATAAAATATTGCAGAAATTACCAGAATGTGATTTCCAAAGCTAGGTCATAAAATGTACTATAGCTTCTGCCTTCATCTCTCTTTGACCACTTGTTCTGGAAGAAGCCAGTTACTATGCTGGAAGGACAGTCAAGAAGCCCTATTAAGAAGTCCACCTGTCAAGGAACTGACATCTCTTGCTAACAGCAAGTATCGACTAGCCAGCCATGTGAGAATGCTGTCTTGGAAGCAGCTCCTCCAGCCCCTAGTGAAGTCTTCAGATAACTACACCCTCATTTGATATTTAGACTGGGACTTCATGAGATCCAGAACCATCCAGCTCAGCTCCCTCTTAATTCCTGACCCACAAATACTATGTGAGATAATAAATACTTCTGATACAGCCCAATAAATGTAAAAATTAACTAATGCTGCCTGCCTGTTTTAACTACCCTCAATTTCTCATTAGTTCTCAAGAAACAAATAGACCCACTTTATAGTATATGACTGTTGCTTCATGTATAGTTATTTTTATTTAATACACCTCACACATCTGGAACTTATGTAATTGTTGTGGAAATATTGGAGTAAAAAGTGGCAGAGCTGCAGGATGTTTAGATTATTTCAGTAAAGGGATAGACAGTTTTACATACATAAGTACAACATCATAAGTCATGTTATTTTTTAATCTATCATATAACAGGTGTCTCGCAATGTTTTTGCATTAGCTCCTTTTTAAAGCAACATTCTTTTGCATATATAAACAAGTCCTGTCAGCATTTGCAAAATCATCTCCAACTTGATTAGAGCGAGCAGGTGCATATCCATGGAGGACTCCGGTCAGTGGTTCAGAGAAAGGTTTTATAAAGCTGCAAATTAGAGGGCCTCTGGATACTTCTCAGGCAGTGCTATGATCTTGACCTCATCATTCATCTACAATGACAGTTTTAGCTGTAACCTAAAATTGTGTGCAAGTAAGCTCATAAAGTCTGTCTCAAACCAACTCCTCTCTCTAGAACTGCATTCAGTTAGGTCTCACAGCAGGAAAAGTAGTAACAGTAGACTCTAATCCCTAAGGTTTCTGCATGCCTTCATCACTGCCTTTATTTTTATGGAGAAGAAGCCATAAATAAGCATTCTCATCACTCATCTTCCAAGCACAGTGTGTTAGATTATTGTTCAGAACCATTCACTTTCTTTTCCACCCACATCATGAGCATCCCCTGACTTTGGCCTTGGCCATGTGATTTGCTGTGGACAATGGAATATCATGGATATGATCTACCTATAGTTTGGACAGTGCTCATATGATTGAACATATTCTCATTCTCTGCCATTACCATGAGAACATTTTCAGACTAGTCTGCTGGCTCCAGGAAGATGAGAGACTCATGGAGAAGAGCAGAACTACACAAGCCATGCTCAATTCAAATCAACCAACATCAAGTCTACCTCAAAGGTGCATAAATTAAATATTGTTATATGCCACTGAAATTGTGAAATTGTTACACAACATTATTGCAACAATAGTTGACCTATAAACCTAATTCCAGAGGTGAGGAAGGGCTCTGTCCAGCAGAGTCTCTCCGGGTGACCATGGATGAGGAAATAAACTGTACCAGACACAATCTGCCTGTCAGGAGAGGGGGTTGGCAATTCCCGCTAGTGGAAAATTGCCCCGAGCCCTCCCCTTACAGTGGCTTTTATTGAGAATGAAAAGCACAGGAGTACACAGCATACATACAGAGCCTATCAATCTATATCAAAAAGGCTATAGATAATAAATTGAAGAAATACAGAGGTTTGTCTTAAATCAAGGTCTGTCAGACAAGTTGGTGCCAGACGCTCATTAAGGCACAGTTTTCAGGGAACAGAAATTATCTTCTTGTGGTGAAGTAAAACACCTGGTTTTTCCTTATGAGGGCAGTGTGAAGCAGAGCAAACTTCGGTAACTACATTGCATTTTTTAGGCCAGATTTCCCCGGGGACCCTCAGTGTTAATATCCGTCCCTGCACCTCCCAGCATTCCTGGCTTTACAGTGGAGGCTTACAGGCAGGGAGCTTGGCTCACGCGGGGCTCCAATTCCCTTACCACACAAAGTGGTCCCCAACACAGAGGCAGGCATATTTCTGCTCACATACAAGTGCCTACGGTAACTGATAAAATGTGTGTGTACCTTAGTCAAAAATAGTGTTTTCTTTGATTCAGCATAAATTTTGTTTCAACTAAAGAACATAGGGTTGGCCTAATCAAATTAACTCTGCAATATAGATCTTTAAAATTATAAGACATTTAACCAGTATGTGCATTACAGGTCATATTACAAATAAGGAGTTAGTGTCTCTGTGAAATTGATTTGCCCAAGGTCACATAATTAGAATTGATATAGCTAAAGTGATGACCCAGCTCTCTGATTTCAAGTCCAGAGTGCGATAAATCTTCATTATATCATGATATTTAATTGCTTTGTATCTCATCCTACTATAAATAAGAGCTGTTTTGTGTGCATTTAAGTAAATATTGATTTCTTTAATACACAGGTTGTATATTTCAAAAACTGTTGGCAACAAATGAAAGAAAAAGTAGAAATAATTGAGCCCTGGGGGTGTGTGTGGTGGTCAAGAAAGTGTGAAAAAAATGACTATAATATGAAAAGAGAAAAGGGAATAAACAAAAATCAGAAGCTGGAAAGAAAGCTTAGAGAAACTGATTAAAGGCAGAGATAATGAAATCGACTTTGTCTCAGAGGCTCTGAGCAGAAGAGGTCCTGGAAGGGAGCCCTCTGGGCACCCAGACTTAGGAGTGTGGATTTGGCTTGAACCTGAAGGTTGAGGCTGCAGAAATACATGAACTTTATTCTCCAAGGGCTGACACGCATAGTTTGAATTTTTGACAATAGCAGTATTTACTGTGCCAACTAGCTGAAGCTTGAGTATCCAAGAGAGAGACAGCTGAAGTGGTGAATGAAAGTTCTCACTACTGGAGAAAAAGACATTTAACTGGCAGAAATGGACTGATGTTCCAGCCAGAAACACATGGTGAGATGGTGGGAGCAGAACATTTAATTTCCCAGCTCCTGCAAATGAGGCTTTTTTTCCTGGATTCTGTAATTACTGTTAGGTCTCCACACTGCAACCAGGAAGATATAACGAGAAAGCAGGAGAATATGACATTAGACAAGGTCAGGGCCAGGGAACACTTTTGAAATTACTCTTAAACCCTCTTCAGTGCTTCTGTAATGGGTCTTGAAATTGGTTGGATGCAAAGTAACATATGAATGAGAACAATAGAGTCTGAACTCTTCTCCCCAACCAACATCTTTGTACCCTTCTAACTTCTTTTATATTCTTTGCCTGGTCTGCTCACTCAGATTCCTCGTTTTCTCAAAAGTTCTGTGGGTTATGATCATGTGAAGGGAC